TAGATGATAAATACACAAAAGACAAAGAACAGGACCTAATAATGTTAACATTCCTCAGAGTTTCTAGCTTAGAGTCTTGCACACAGCAGGCACTCAGTAAATGTTGAATTAAATGGAACAGAACAAATCTTCCCCCTCCCTTCAGGGTTCTTGACAGATTTCAGCCCTATTTTAGTGACTGAAATAAGTAGGTGAAGGGTCAGGAGAGGCTCCTGTGGCAGCAGCTGCTCAAGTTACTGATGTAACTGGATGAAAAGGGCCTTTGGAGCAGAGGGAGCGCCGGTTATGTCTGAACAGCTTAACGAAGTTGGAAATACTCTTATCTTTGGACCCTTAGAAGACACTTTGACTTTGTGGAATTAGTCTATTGGCTTTTCAATAAGTGAGCACTTCATTTCAGCTGGGACATCACATTTTTAGAAATGCTGGGATTGATTTGCACTTTAAAATTTTACTTCTGAAGTCCCTTAATGGCATGGGGATGGGAATTTACTTAAAAGAGAAAATGTAACATATAGTATTTTGAAACACATGTATGAACGACAAAAACTTCGAACTGAATTGCTTGCAGTTTCTAATGTGACATTCCTTTCATACCACTCCACCAAAATTAAAGCCATCTGTTCAGGTTTAAAAAGCAATTTCATTTCCAGAATGGCAAACCAGAGAGTCTCTGGAAATGGTTTAAGAGCGACTTTGTAACGGATTTTAAAAATTGGATTAGCAAAAATTATGAAAGTCATTGTGAAAAGGACTGAGGAAAGCAAATGCCTTTATTTTGTTTTCCCAGCAGCTTATAAATTCTACATTATGTCCTATTTAATGCTGTCCAATCTGGTCTCATCAGTGGGCTTGAAATGAGCTTTCTATAGTACGTACATAGTGCTGAAGGGTTCATTTGTCTGAAGTGCTACATTTATAGAATAAACGACTAGAATACAGGTTATTTCCAGGCAGAGGTCACATCTAAGTGCTTTTTAGTCCTTTGTTAAAATAACGCATTTAACTGAATAAGCTGAGTTAGAGGCAATCCTGTATGTACAGTATAAGTGGTTTCTTAAGGTCATATGGCTCCCAGAAGGATGAAGGTTTAGCATAATGAGCACTGGTTGGAGTAAATGGTGAAAGCTTGCTCCTCATGGTGAATAAGGAATAACAAAATCCAAACGGAACTGAAGATGTTTAGAGCTGCCAGTGTATTCCTGAAGAGGGCGGTAGGGCAAGCAAGGAGTCAGCAGGCTGCTGGTGATGGTAGGGGGAGGTGGAAAAGAATGGAAGGAAACCTGCTAGTCATTCCATGTTAAAATGCAGCCTTGAGATGTGAGTCTGGGATCAAAAGATCCTCAGCAATTCTGTTTACCTATGTCAGGATAGAGATCACTCTGGCTTATTACCCACAAAGCACTGCCTGCTGTTCCCCTTATCTAAGTGCCCTTTTCTCTACAGACACAAGCTGATAAGAACCTGGAGATGTGGGTCAGATGCTGTGGGTGGGGGAAGTCCCCAGCAACCGCCATAGCTTCCAACTCTGAATGATTCCAGAAAAGTTCCAGAGCTTTAGAGAAAACTTGTTATTTCCAGAGAGCGTGTTCTGAAAAGGAGCCTTACTTAGGAGGTGCTATGTTCTAATGTAGGACCCAACGTGAAAGTCAGAAATGCAGAGGGAGAGGAGAAAGTGGGAGCCTTAGGTCTAAATTCTAAAAAAAAAAAAAGAAAAGAAAAAAAAGTGAATTCTATTGGTTAGGAGTAAATCACAGTTTCACTTTGTAGGATTGCTTAGGACAATACCTATGGATCACGATTCTATTCCAGTTTACATAGCAACATCTGCCATATTTCTATGCCTACCTCTACATACACTTAAAAACACATCTGAAGGCAACAGACATGAAAAGAATGACTTAATATGATATAATGAAATAGAAATAGCTAGAGAGTCTGGGACTTGACCTCTTTTTTGTAAGGTGTGGCAGGTGGAATTTGAGTCTCTGTGTTCTTGATAAACCTGTTAGAATTATTTGCTTTTCTGTTTTTCATGGTGTTGTGTGAATTGTACTATGTAAAGGGAAGGATAAGCTAATATGCATTCTTAGTCCTTGGGGAGGACTAACAGACACCCCTGCTCCCTATCATCTCCCTTCTACTACGAAGAAAGAGAAATGTTGGGCTGCCAGTGAAAAAGTTCACATCTTAATTCATTCATTTATTCATCTGCCCAACAAACATTGCAAGCTCTCACTATGTGCATTTGACTAAGAAGGAAAAAACTAATCTTACTGGAGAAAAGAAAGATAATAAATGGATTAATCAAAGGAAAAACCATCCAACCATCTTACAGGAACAAAACCATTCTCATATCTTCCTGGGTTTGTAAGAAAGAGAGCCCGGTTACATGTTGAAAGAAAAAGAGTAAAAAAACCCCCAAAACAAAAAACCCAGCCCCTAAAAGTGACATATTTTAATCCAGATTAGGTTTTATTTGCTTGTTTGTTCTATTATTTATATGGGGATATTGAGGCAAACTAAACACACTACTTATTGGCCAAGAGTTTGCTAACACATAGAAACCTGCCAAGAGAACATGCTGAGACCTGGCATATGACACACTGAAAATCCTGGCTCTACATTGTAAGAAACAAACAAAAACAACACTAACGACATCCTCTGTCACCTTGGGAGGAAGTGAGTGTCGCCTTGTGACTCTTGGCTGGGACAAGCAGGCTGACCCATCCATCATATCCACAGAGCTGGGTTTATTCAGCCCAGATCCTCACCCAAACTGGAATTGCTGACAAATGTCACAGGGGACTGGCCTAACACTTGTGCTAGAAAAGGGAGTTTGTACATCTCAGGAAAAGGCAGATTCATTTGAAGACGGTTTACCTTGGAAAACATTGCTGATATTGTCCTACGCTAGTCATGCCCTAACCTCCAGGGGTTACAGCCAGGAGAAAGGTGGACAAGTGTACAGATCATCCCGGTGTAACCTTGTACGGGCAAAACAGAATTACAGGCACCGTGTTTCATAAATGCAAAGGTTGAGTGAAAATAAATAGTGAAGGATAGCAGTTATTTTTCTGAAATTTGTTTCTAATGGTCAACTTTGGTTCTAACAGACATCTAATGGGGGGTATTTCCAACCTGCTGCCCTTCCTGATGGCAGTGGTGCCGTATCTATCACACAGAGGGAGAATTTCCAGGGGGATGTTGGGATTATAAATGTCGAGGTGAAATGGTCCCCAGTATATGAAAAGCTGACTTTTACTTTCCATTGCCATGATCCAGCCATCACTGTCATGCTATGAGTGCTGCATTAGTTTACCTGGTACGGATTAGCTGTGTGACCACAGCCAAGTCTGTTAATCCCCTGACACCAAGACTTAAAGCACTGTATTCAGGGTTTATGAATAAAGCAATACAGAAGCACATACCAGATTTCTTTTACAAAATGCTTCGATTCAACAGTGATGTGCCTACTGTGTACCAAAATGTAGTTAGTGATCCTTACATATAAAAAGAAGGGCTCCCAATATTCTTTTCCCAGTGATGTGGTTTGCTTAGAAATTCTACCCTATAATACACTTTCTGTCTACAGCTGTCTTCTGCCTTGTATCCATGTTGGAGCTGATTTTAGGCTAAAGCTGTGTACATGTCATTTGAAATACTTTCAGATATATGAGAGGCAAGACATTATTTAACAGTAAATATTAGCCAACATAGCAATAAGGATCTGATTTCATGCACTCATGAAAAAGGAATGTGCCAAAAAATATTTCAGCACACACACTGCATTTAAAGTGACCACAGAGTCATTACATGAGCAGTTCTCCTCTGCGTGGCCCTGTATGGAACATTCTGTACAGGACACTGCCAGTTACTGTGTCGCTTATTTCCCCCCCTAAAATGAATGAGTAAATTCAGTGTTTATGAAAGGAGAAGAGTTGGCAGGAGAGCACAGACCTATGTTTATCCATAGGTGGTGGTTTTAACTCATGCAGCCCAAATCTCTACAACCAGCCCCGCTCTGTGATCCCAGCAAAACTGACGCCAATGCAAATGCCAGGAAGGGGCACGCCAATGAGGACATGTGTCCGCCTGGGGGGCAGTAGAAGAGATATATGATGGATAACGTAACTTTTCCCAAAAATTTGGTTTTAGGATGCCATTTACTTCACATGACCCCCTTTTAATTAGTCTTCAAGGAATTAGGTTAAATAATACGACTTTTGGATGTTACTGTGGCACAATAAACTGGGGTGAGGGGATGAAATACCTTCAAAACTGTGGTGAAATGTAATATGAGTTGAAAGTTATTGTGGTTTTGGCTTTCAAGTGTCAGAAGTTATATGAACTCCTACTCATTTCTACTAATGCGCAAGATAGACGTTCAAGATCTGTTTTTTGATTTTAAATTTAAAAATAAATTTCAGCCTCCATAAGGCTGGAAAAGAAATAAAAATAAATTTCATAATTTTTCCCCCCTACACTTTAAAAATACCTAACATCTAAAAATACTTGCTCTATAGTCAATTTTAAGTGGCTCCAAAATGCTGTATAAAAATAATAATATTCCTTGGGCATTGCAATTGCAAACTCACGTTATAATTAAGCCCATATCAAGTCAGAACATATGTACTAATCTACAGAGTCAAGCAGGATTCTTTCCTCAAAGCTCCATGTACTTACTGGGAACAGGACGATGGGCACCGTTAGTGTGACTGCCACAAGGACCGCCAGGCGTACCATGAGGAGAGGGGTGTCGAATGTGTACACTTTGATGTAAGCATGAAGCAATTCATCTTCAACTTCTCCTACAAAGAGGAAGAATAGAAAGAGTCCATTTGGTTACCTCTGGCAACATTCTACAGAGGGAACATAGTACAGTAGAAACAACTCATGTCGGCGAATCCAGACACTTCTGTTTTCACCATGTCTCTGAGCTTATTAGCTGTGTGACCATCGACCAAAGGGGCCCTGAAGCTTATACGTTGCAGAGGCTATTATGCATGGTGATGTATCTATCTCTGCTCCTCTGAAGCATCACAAAACAGATGATAGACTGAGGTGCCCTGGTTCAAGGTCATGAAAGGCCCACGCACCACCAGTTGTCCCTCACATCCTGTCACCACCACCCCCTCTACCCGCACCTGCCCAGTCAGCCTGAGGCAGCTTCTCCTAACCCAGTATGGAAGCCCTAGTACCATTGATCTACAACATTTCTTCAAGCTCAACGATTATGACTCCATGACAAAGCGGATACTCATACATTTGGACTTTTCAAGTTTTGCTTGCCTTATGAAACTCAGAGTCAATATAAGTAACATGCAAGGATGAGTTAGTATGAGTTTTACAGGGTCTCTCAATGAATATTGTGCTAAGACTAAGATGCTGCCCTCCTGGAAAACACAGTCATTTAGAATTTCAAGCACAAATGACAAGGAGGTGCTAATAGAATCAGATGCAGTCTGTTTGTCCCATTACTCCCCTCAAAATCAGACAAAGAGGATAAAAAAATATCTTCAGTGGTATTGACCGAACTTTCATTAACTCACAGCCAGCAAGGACTTAATGCCCACTCTAAAGCAAGTACTTGGTTAATAGCCAAATATTGGTCAAATAGAATAAAAGTCAATCAAATGGTGCTTTCCCTCACCCAGTCTTTCCCCTCAACTTGTCTTGCAAACAATTTAATTTACCAAGTCACTCAGAAAAATGCAAAAAGTTAAGTTTATACAAAAAGTATATTTATGATTAGTGTGAACAAATACTAGCAGGCCAATGTTTGACTCCCTGAAATTTGTCTGTAGGGCCATGCTTTGGAGAAGGGAATGACAATCCTACTCCTTTTGTGTCCTGTTAGGATGCCATAGAGGAAGTGTTTTAGGCACACATAATCTAATGGGGCCGTGTCACATTTTGTTTTGATAGTACATTCCCAGATTGAAGGGAATTCTGACATGTACTTTTCTTTCTTTAGGAAACCATTCATGATGACAGAATATAATAGGATGAGCAAAAAATGTTGCCTAATGCTCCAAGCACTCAGATTTGACTTAACTGGTAAATAAAAAACAGGTTCTAACTCTAGAATGTTGTACTTTTTCTGCCATTTGCTTGGTAGATAGTTTTCAACCAAGAGAGCTTTACAACATGCAATTGGATTCACTCTCATTGCTTCTAGCCTGAGATGGACTAGGGAGTCAAGCCAAAGAAATACCACCTATCCCAGAAGGAAAATACTTAAATTTGAGGAATTAAAAAAAAGTATGGCCCTAACCAGTTTGGCTCAGTGGATAGAGTGTCGGCCTGCAAACTCAAGGGTCCCGGGTTCAATTCCGGTCAAGGGCATGTACCTTGGTTGCGGGCACATCCCCAGTGGGGGGTGTGCAGGAGGCAGCTGATCTATGTTTCTCTCTCATCGATGGTTCTAACTCTATTCCTCTCTCTTCCTCTCTGTAAAAAATCAATAAAATATATTTTTTAAAACGTGTGAATTTACAAATTGTTGTAATTTGTTAGCCAAGCTGGTTCAGGTCCTATTTTCTTGGGTCAAGTGACATGATTAAGAGAGCATGTTAACCATGTACTTGTATCTACAATTCATGCTGCTTAAGAGGGTAACTAGAAGAATGATAGCTACTGGGGTTAATGATCAGTTCAGCCAGGATTTGCACAGAGAATGACTTTGACAGAGTGACCTACCATAAAATGTTAGATAACCAAAGAGGGCAGCAAGCAGGTACATGATGAGCATCCCCGTGATGGAAATATTTGACACTGACTGCATCTTCCTCCGGGACCGACTGGAAATAAAATGAACACTGAGTTTTGTTTCTTTAAATTTACGAACAGGTCACTTTTTAAAATGAAAATAAGAAAATCATGAAAGGATGGATGTCATTATAAAACCTCATTCCTGATGCAAAAGCATAGCTTATTTAAATTTGTCTTATAAAGGATTTGTTTCCATTTTTCTAAAACATTACTCCTTCAGTCTTAGAAACAACTACCTTCCTAAAAGAGGACAAGTTTATTTCCTGTTGACAAGTAAGCTTGTCTACTGAGTATTTAACAATGTAATTAACATGAAAGCCTTAATGTTTCATAGTGGAGTGGGTTTAATGAGGACAAGTACCTGCGTGAATCAGCAAAACCCTACCTCTAGGAGTTCTATTATTACCAGGATACTTGATATTGTTACCTGGACTGCTTCTAGAAACCAGGAAGGCACACAGTGGCTTGAAGTCTATTGCCAGGTCTCTAGAGTAACTGCTACATGTGATTTTCCAAGACATAAAAATAATTTAAAATTCCAAAAAAATTTTATGAAATAAATCAGAATTTATGGGGAAAGTTATTGCTACTTAGTGAAAATGAATACTGAGATTGTTCATGTGTGTGTTAAAGAAGTTGAACTTATTATATGACATTATCCCTTATGGCCAAAGTGGGAAGCTGCTATTGTAGTGGGCTCAGACCCAACTCATCCTCAAGTGGATGCAACAACCTCAAAGGGCAAAGAGTATTAATGACATAGAATATCAGCTGGAAGAAACAAGATTGTCTAGCCAGTGTCTCCATTGTACAGGTAAGACAATGGAGGTCAGATATTGGCACATCTCTGTGGTCAATTCTTTTAGACAAGGGTTAGGGACTAACTACAGGAGACCTCAGTGGCCTAGTAAGGTCACCCTCACCATAATTTTTTATCTTTATGAGTGTGGTAGTTTCCAGTTCAAGTGACATCACTTCTTTCCGCCAAAATTAAAATTTGAATTCTCCATGTCTGCCAAAATCCTTACAGCCACTGGCTTCTCCCTTTCCCTGGGCCCTCCCCTGGACCATTAGGGTGGAGGAATAAAAGAGATGGACGTCGAGAAGGTAGTGCGGTGAGGGGTCTGACTCACACCTTTCTGGTTAAAGCACATTACTGAAGAGTAGTTACAGCACAAATTCTCTGAAGAGAAAGCTATGAACCATGCTACTGAAGAAAGCACCTTGGAACATATGAGCCCATTTTCAAAGCAAATTAGAATGCTAAAATGATGGCTGCCTTACTCTTTAAGTTCACTGTAGATGGGAAGGACCTCAGGATGGCAAACAAAAGCAAATGCTAGGATAGGAATTGCATAGGCCGTCTGAAAAACAAAGACAACACCACATGTTTAGCATTCCAACACGATGGCAATCCCAGGCCACCTCAGCTTATGAAATGAACGCTCAGAGGCCACACTACTAGGCCCATTAGAGACCCAGGCCTCGCACTTACCCGGGAGTTGAATACAAAGTATTTGGGTTGACACTTGTCATCACTGTGTGCTTCATACTCTACACCGCTGCCATGCAGAGAGTCCTTGGCCGGGTTGTCATCGAGCCCTGCAGGATTCTGGTGGGTGTAATCCATCATGAAGTTCACACCACTGCTCTCAGAGTCGTTGGGTAACATTACCACGTGCATTGGAAATGTATTGTTGCATGTCAGATTTCCAACATTGTGATCCAGATTGGGCAGAGGGCAGGGTATTTGGAATTTCTTATAAATCACCTAGACCCAATCATAAAAAACAACAGCATTAGCCTTTTGAACACAATGATATGGAAATCTGTATGTGTGCCTTATGGGATGAAGGTGAGGGGCCTCTGCTGATGATTCCTTTTAGACTAATGGACAATGGAGACACCCTCTCTCTAGCCTCTGTCCTAGGAAAGAGCTAGAACTATAATTGGAAGCCCTACCTCTTAAAGTCAACAAGACAGTATTCTGCATGAATCCATCCTAAGCTTCATTCATACTCTTCCATTAGAAAGTTGATCATTTCCTTGCTCTGCCTCATGTCTTTTATTTTTTCAAACTAATAATAATATGGGTTATTAAAAACTCCCTTCTTCTCCTTTATCTCTTTGGAGAAATGCTGTATAAAATCTGGCACCCATGATATTACAAGAAATTCCTTTTTGGTGGGGACTGGGGACAGGTGAGGAGAGGGATTTCTTCTTTAATCCCACTGTGGTTGCCCTCTCTTCATAGGTAGAATGATTAAGAGAAAATGGCTAATTCATGCGGCTATGGCTAATTCGGTAGCCTACTCATTTCTCTTCTAGGATTCATCTTCTTCTGCCACCTTCTAAATACTAGGTTATTGTCATGTTCCCACTTGAAGTATTCTTTTGGTCCAAATATATATTGTGTGCCTAAAACATACTATTAGCAATGGTCTTGACATTCTAATTCAACTATATTTAAACTCATGACTGTTCTTTTCTCATTCCAAATTAGAATACAAAAAAAAAATTGTTTGTGATGCAAGAACTATTTCATGCTAGTGAGGTGCTTGAACAACAACAAAAAAGAACACTAATTCAGGCACTAAATGCATCTCATGCTATAAGAATCATGTCGATAAATCACTTACCACACTGACAAAAAACACCATGCAGGTAAGAGAAAATCCACTGGTATAACCAAGGTAACCTAGGAGTTAGCAGAGAAATTCTGGAAGATGAATATGGCATCTACAATCAGCTTATTATAAATACAAAACAAAAATAAAAATAAAAAACAACTTTACCTAAATTTTTAAGTAGAGAAAGTGGGAGAATGATTCCAACAGACACAAATATGACGAGGTAGTTGCCATTGAGGTACCATTCTCTAGAAGAGAAAGACAGACCAGAATATTGGGATTGGAAAAGACCAACTAGAATGAGTCACTTGCTATTACAGAGAGAACATAAGACCTACCCAGTATTTTCTTCAAGTCCCATGAATGCTTTGATTACTTCAGGTAGTTCGTATTTAATGATAAAGAGGTAGCTTGACATTGCTAAAATGAAAAGCATGACAGCTTAGTAGAGTGAACAGCGTTAAAGTCATGGGTAACTTGTGAGAAGTCCTTGCTTTTGAGATACACATTCTTCCCAGTAAAGTGCACATTTAGTCCCCCAAATGGCAAGGAAAGTTCCCCACTGTGTATTCTGTACTGCTTCCAAGTTCTTTCCAAAAATAGCCATTTGGCCCTCTGGTTCTTGCGTCTGGAACTTCGCTAACACTATCAATAACGATTCTGTGTTCAATCCTGCTCTGAGGTTTTCAGTGAAGCTACACTTTGAATGTTTTCCCCTCATTAGTTTTAAGTCATTAATGACTGTGCTGGGTGATCTTGTCTTAGTGTCTATAACTCGAGGAAGGGCCTGGCAACAAAAGGCCAGGGTGCACCAGGGTAGACTACATGTCCCTCTAGCTCTCTCCAGGTGGGTGCAGTCTAGTCCTCTGTATCTCCCTGAGGGGCACAACAAATCTCAGACCACTGTCTAATCTGGTGTCATACTTGACTGATAAAAGAATACAGGAGTGGATAGCTCCTCCTCCCGTGGTCAATGAAATTTTTCCTCCTCTGCATCCTGGCCTTCCTTTGGCCAAATAAGAAATTATACGAAGTGACCACATTTCTTGAGCATTTAGATAAGTGATAGACGTGTGATCATGCACTCTTCTAAAAACCAGATGAAATCTATAAACCCAATCCCTGGAAAAACGTTCAGTATATGTGTATATAAGCATACTATATAATTTTGCCTACAACTGTAGGGATTTATGCAACATCCCTTTCTCAGTTCCATCCACTCAGTGATTTGTTATTTGATACACCATCAAAAGTCTCAATTAAAAATAAACTGGCAGGTTTTACATTGAAACTGAATGTAGAATTCAGCTGAATGCTACATCCTTCTGGCAAATTTTTGCTAACACATTTTAAAGCAGATACTAAGTTGTAAGTTGAACTATTAACATTAAACTAATGAATATTACAGACGTTTCCTTCACCTCAAATGGAAGTAATAACGGTGATAATAATCCCCGATACTTTTAGTTCTGCACATCACTCATCTAAACAGCAAGAGGTACATTATTATCTTCAATCCTCAGCTGAGGGCAGAGGACTTCCATGGCATGTCCAAGATCATGCAGCTTGAACATGACAGACCTCATCCCAAATCCACGTTCCCTACTTTCAAGCCAGTGCTCCTCATCTATTATGGAGTGAAGTGATTCTTACAATACCTGCTGTATCTTCTGCAAACACTATCTGGTTAATCTTTACAAAGCTTGGCTAAAGCAAAATCTTACAGAGAGTAAACAGATGAGATATTTCTGATTAACTGGCTTCGTGCGGTACCATTCAATTTTAGAGAGCTATTATCGCTGACTTTCAGTGACGTTACCACTGTTAATGTGTTTGGTCTTCAAAAATTCAGAATGATCCCGACCTGTCTGGGTAATGTCAACATGATTCTGCCAATGTTGAAACATCCATGGTAAATGTTAATTTTCAGGGGACTGAGGAAATTAAACGTTCTAAATGTGGAGTTGCTAAATACAGAAATACAAGTGATTCCCCTTAGGGCAAAATAACCACTCACCCAGTAGAGTAACCAAAGTGAGAGCATTTTTAGGAACTATATATAAAATTTTATTTTTCTACCTTAAAGCCACACTTCTTGTCATGTGTGTGGCTTCATCGAGACACCACTTTATAGTTTATGCCATTATTTAGAAGCATAATAGTAGCTATACTTTGAATAATAGACGGTGCTATTGCCACTTAGCCTGTTGTAGTCAGGGCTAAATATGTGTATGGTCATTTCAGTTGTCCAAACAAAATAGATCAACTGTAGATAATCCTATGAAATACTTGAAACTTTAAATCTTGATAAGGCTGAAAATTTGAACCAAATGTAGAGCAGTCTATTTGGTGGAGGATGGGGGCTGACATGCTTATGGCCCCAAACCAGTAAAATGAATGAAGCAATCCTGTCAATACTGCCAAATTCTGCCCAAGATTGTAGTCTTAACATATAAAAACACGAGAAGAAACAAATATAAATCCATATATGCCTGGATTTTGTCTGCTTAACAACTATCCATCATCAGGAGCAGATATAGTTAGATAAGGTTATTAAAAGAATTGCTGCATTCCAGAAATCCTAGATAATTCCAGTGATTTTATTTGTCAAAAAGGGTTACCTATTTGCAAGATCTCTGTGCGAGTTTATTTACTGCAGCATCGTCTGTAAGAGTGAAAAATGGGAAACAATCCAGCTGTCTATCAGTAAGGGATTCAGTAAGCCAATTATGCTACGCTGGCACGACGAAAAATGCCAAAGCCATTAAAAAGGACCACGCGTGGATACAGTCAGGGCATATTGTTAAATTTCAAAAAGCAAACTGCAAATCAGTCTAAAAGAAGATCCAATTTTAACAGAAAAAATATATTTATTAAGTTTGGCAGAGAAAAACCTTAAGTTGTTATTTCTAAGAGTGACTTATATAAACATTTCTTTGTCATCTATATTTTTAAGTAATGTTTTAGTTGTTCACAGTTAGCACTTATTTGTCCTATAATTATAAAAATGCCCATTTAAAAAATAATCAGAAGGGCTCCAGAGACATGGACGTCGGATCCGAGAGCCAGGGCAGAAGGAAGCATGTGCCATATGTTGTCTTATTTCATCCTTGCAGCGACCTTGTGAGGATGGAACATTACTCCCACTTTCATAGATGGGAAATTAGACTCAAAGGAGCAACGTGACTTTCCCAAGGTCACAGATAGTGACAGAAATGGACTCAAACTGAGGTGCATCTGAATCCAAAAGCCTTCCATCCATGCAAGGGTTTTAAGTACCCTTTAAAAATAGTAACAGACAAGATACCTACAAAGAGGTCTAAGGGAGCCCAGAGGAAGTAGGGAACACTAGTTCCTAAAAGCCGAGAGAAGTGGTGGGTTGTGGGAGGGGAGAGAAACAGAGAGAGAGAGAGAGAAAATCTGTGTAATTGTGTTTGTTAAGGTGGAGAACTACAAGAATAGGGGAACTGAATATAATTTGTTATGAGATGACACAGGACACATAGTAGAGAGATAGGTGAGATGATAGATAGATAGATAGATAGATAGATGATAGATTTGAGGGGGTTGTTAGGAAAGGTATCAGAAAGGTAGATGGAGGAAAGATGATGAAGGCCCTTACATACCAGGCCAAAGAGTTTAAATTTTACCTTGAAAATAATAAGGAAGAATTTTATGCACAGTAGAAGCAAGAATAGATTTGATTTGAGAAAGCTAATCTGTAGGATGAATTAGAGATAGGAGCAGGAGAAATTCAAGTTCAGGTGATCACTGTAGTGGTGAGAACAGAATGAGAGGACAGATTGAAGAGGTCGGTAAAAGATAACATGAACAGGAGCCAGTTGGTATTTGATTGGATGTTCAGGGTTAGGGAGAGAGTGAAAACTTAGGCTGACACCCAGATTTCAAGGAAGGTTTTACTCTATATTTTAATTCTAAAAGTCATTGGTAGGGTTTTATGTAGTATTTCATTGTTACATATTGTTATTTTTAATTAAAGAGGGACAGCAAGTCTATTTTTAAAACTTTTTTTTAAATTTAAAAACTACAAAGCAGCTATTTTTCTGTATTTAAAGTGCTCATGTATTGCGTAAGAGTTTTCTTATATATTAAACATTCTTTAGAAAGCTTAAGTAGCCTGTTGAAGGCTATATCTCCTTACCTCCAATGTTCTGCATTGTAATGGAAATAAAAGCTGCGATTTTCCCAGGCCATCCAAATGCCTTTTCCCCCAACTTTTCATAAATCAAAGACCCTACAATCAAAGATAAAATAACCTTGTTAAAAAGATTGTTTTAATGACTAAAATATTTCTGTAATATAATTCTATGCTGGAGCCTCAAATGTATGAATAAGAACCATATATAAATTATAAACTCAAAAGTTGCAATATCAAAAACCAATGCAAAATATGTTAAAATATTACCTACACAAGAAGCAGTGGCTTCATTCATGTGAGCTCCATGCAGCAAGTTGAAACTCTTATTATTTGGATTATTCACCAAAATCTTTTTATCTATTTGGCTTCAACTTGAGCCAGTTGACTTTCACTTCTTTCAGTTGCTCAAATAACTAAAATCATCAAGAGACCATGTCATTGGACTCAGAAGAAAATAAAATGTGAAACTGACCAAAATCATCCTGTAGTTATGGAGCTATAGACTGAAATACCCTTTAAAGAGAATCAAAATAGGACATTTGGACTTAATGGGTAGCATACCTCCTTCCTTTGAAGTCTTTAATAAAAGGTGAACTGAATAGAGTGATAATATTGCCACAGTAAGCAGCATGATTCTGTGAGGGGAACAGAGAATAGAAATAAGTTTCTGTAATACATAATAACAGATGTTACAATAAATTATCACATTGGTCTTTTCAATCACTAACTTTCCAAAAGTATGGATTTGGGGGAAGCTGAGAAATTCTTTTCAGAACTCCACTCATACTCTTTAATGTTACAGAGCTGGAATGTGCTATTACTTATGCACCAAAACCTACTACCTGAAGTTCCTAATATCTCTCTCTTTTGTGTGTGTGTGTGTTACCCAGTAGTAAAATCTGGTTCATAACTTAGGTGCTAAATGTAGAGCAAAATTAGCAAATACCATATCTGCTTACTCAGCACATGGGTCTGTATACATACTTGCATGATAATTGTACCTACATACATAGGGCTATTCAGTAGTCTCGCTAAACCTTATTCTAAAACCTAGAAATAGAAAAGCCGAAGCGAGCAGAGTCTGAGCTCCATTACTACTATCCCAGCACATTAGGGGTCAAGTGGTGAACGAGAGAGTCAGGCAATAGAGAAACAGAAAGGTAAGTGTAGGGTGCAGGGAAATTCCGTCTTGTATTAAAACAAAAATCATTTCTGGTTCAGGACCCTCCACATGTCTGCATGCATATATGATTTCTTTATCTAGATAGTTATCAGTGTCTCTCCAAAAACAAGACTTGAAAAACAAGAATACAGGCATTTATGTAATAACTTAAAGAGCAATATTAAATGTTGCCTGACATTTAAAAAAAAAATCACATTCTTTGTTTTCACATGAAGGGAGCACACTAAACATTTTCCCACAGTTGATCATGTCCTTTGGTAACTCCCTCTGCAGTCAGTGTTGCAACTATACATTTGGACCACAAGTTACTAATTTTATAATGACTCTAACTTTGTTGTGCCAGAACTGACTAATCAATGACTTGTTCATGTGTTCTGCATGCCTCGTGAGCTTACCTGTTCTTACAGAATTACATATTTCAGATGACATCATTTTGTCACTTGGAAAAATACTGGACATTCCCAGTATTCTAAACACAAGCTTGCTTTGGCAAACAGAGTAAAACCAATGAAACGCGGTGTCACTTGCTGTGAATTAAGGGTGAGAGCTGACTCCAGCCGGAGCTGCTTACACATAAAACATACCCACGATGTAGAGCAATTTAGCTTCTCTGGCCAGATTAACCTACCACATGTTTGTAAGCCTGAAGTGAGGCCCTTGGTTCTAAAACTGGGAATGACCTGTGGCTCTAGCATTGGGGAAAATGTTTAGTTTTTCTGTTCACCAGTGATCTATGCTAACTTCCTAATTATTGATCGTATGTGTAATTAATGAGAAGACATTATATATGCAGCTACATATGTGAATACATCTCTAGCTAGGAAGATTCAGAGAATTTAAAAAATGAGTTTATTTCAAACATGGCTTATAAAAGTAAAGCTGATATAAAAACCCATTCAGCTAAAAAATCTTATAGCTAAAACACTTCAATGAAAGCACTAACTCAATATAAATATTTATAGTCCTGCTTGATCCTTAGCCCTCAAATAGCTGTGTGATTATCTAATCATAAGTGATGTTCAGAACATAAATAGCATATATTTGTAATATAAATATTGCATTCTTAGACAGTTATTTAATGCTCTAGCATTGCATTAGAGATTGTGATCTGCATTCACACTGATGCCTGACTAATATCAGACTTGATTCCTGTGAAGAAGTCCAGTGCTGCCAACTGTGTCTTGGAAAATACCAGGCAGGACGTAATGCACACAAGCACCTGTGGCTGTCTGTCACTGACAATGCGGTATCCTCCCTCCAGGTCAGCTGTGCGACGTTACTAATCTCAGGCAGCTTTTGACCACATTAGATTACAGTGCATAGGTTTAGGAATAAACTTGGGCCGCTCCACAAATATTCCCTGTGCCAAGTCTGTACTAGGTCTTGGGGATTCAAACATGTGATGAGTAAAATCAGACCTGGACTCTACTCTCTGGAGGTTACAGTGTAGCAAGGGAGATATACATTTATCAAATAAGTCACACAACTATACTGAAACATTAAAAATGGTGAGTAAGTGCATAATAAAGTTGGAAAGGTGGTTTGTCCCAGTCATGGAGGTCAGGGAAGGCAGCACAGATGTGAGGCTGAGCTGAGATATCAGGAGTTACTACATGAAAAGGAAAGAGGATTTCCAAGAGCATGTGCAAAGGCCCTGTGGTAAGAGGAAACATGGCGCCTTCACAGAATGGAGAAAAGGCTAGTGTGCCCAGTATATCTGGTGCCCAGGGACATGAGAGATGAGGTGTGACATAGAACCAGGGTATGCAGGGCCCTGGTTTAAAGTGGGTCTTTTTCCCAAAAGTGTTATAAAGTCAGCTTTGCTTCTGAGGAAAATCTCTTGACTACTAAACACCAAATTATTTTAAGCATCCACTAAATAATGAATTAGTTTTTTTTAATGGTCCTATAGGCTGTGGTGGGCGGCTTCTCCATCACTGTGGTTGGTTGAGAGCATACAGTTTCTGCCATTTGACTAGGGACAGTTGGTTGAACACGTACTATGATTTGACTACTCTGATTCTCCCTCAGGTTGCTGTTTTATCTAAAAGCAAGAGGAATATGCTATGGTCTCAAATTATTTCTGTTCACAAAGATCAAACTTCAGATGGTTAATTAAAAGAACACCAGGTATATATGGGCTTCACACCAGATGTGGACATGTCCGTTCACTTACACAAACAGTATGATCCCTGTGTTGGCCATGGCATAGGACAGGCCCAAGATTCCACTGCCCATGATGGCATTACTCAGGTTAAATGAAGACATTCCAAACGAGGTGTTTCCAGGATGCTTGAAGAAAAGGGGACACATTATCAGCAAATAACTCCCAGAGAATGAGCCAGTTGGGGATTATTCTTATTTTCACATTATCTTTACTGGAGGAGATTATAGTCTGAGCTTAAAGACTAAGATAACATCACAGTGAATAAAAGCTTTTTTATTGACTCAACTTCAATAAAAGCATGTAATTGTCAATGGAATTCAGTGCTTAGCTCTAGCAAGGATCTCGGTTAAAAAAAAAAAATACAGGTTGAGTATCACAAAGAAGGGAAAACATGTATGATTGCCGATTGCATTTGGGTTAGAATGATTTCTCCAAAAAACAAATAAATTTCATAAATGATTTATGTAGCCATATGGCGAACAGGAAAAACAAGCCCTTATTCCAGTAAGGGCCTGAATAAACAGAGAATGTGCTGATCAAGGCTTGGAAAATTTCAGTCACACTGTTTTCCCACAGAGACCTGGGTAGATCAGACACCCTCAAGTCCTGTTTATTGCCTGAAAGCAGAGATTCACTTACATGTTCATCATCATAATCTGCCAGCTTCTTTTTCCCCAAAAATCCATTTGTCAGGAATTTCTGACTTTCATCATCTTCATTAGTAAATTGACTGAACGAAAAGAGAAAAAGGAAAATAAGAAAGTAAATATATCTAAGCAAATGCTCTGAATTATATTTATGTTTCAGGTGATTTAAGTGATGGAATAAGGGGAGGAAAAATAGGACGCCTAAAACTTTTTTCTCTTTTCCTCCATACGAGTGTCCCTTCCAGCCCAGTGACTGAGCTCCAGTTAGGGGAGGGAAGGAGGAAGTTATGAAAGAAGAAAGTATTGGCGCTTTAGTTGGAATTTTTAAAACCACATTTCTTCTCCTCATATTAATTATGCAATAAAGAGAATAATTAGAGCTCATTTTGTTTCCACTTAGAGCTCTTCCAAAGGAAAGATAAAGACTTGTCATGGAGGTTTCTCAACTACTCCCACACTATGATCGGATAATTTTATTAATTCAATAAATGCTTATTAACGGACTAGGCACTGTGGTCCTCATCTCACTTCATGCTCAAATATCCCCATGAGAGGGCCTTCTGTGCCCTGAGTCTAAGGACAAGGTGACTATGGCTCATATACGTGAAGTCACATGCTTACACCCACCACACGCCAAGTCCAGCATCTTCCACGTGCCGTCCCAGGCAGGGGCCTATAGCTGTTATTTTCCTCTTTCTTTTTTGTCTCCATCTGTTTATTCACATAACCCTCTCTAGAAAGTAGTTCAGTGGTAGCTCGATGTTGTATTTGGTTGTTTTTGTTGTGTGAGTTTGTATATTTGAGTCACTCTGCAAATAGGCTTGGGTGATTAGACAGTGGATGAAACTAAGAAAACATTAAAGAAACCCCATGAATTATGAGAAGAGTTGAGAGGAAAGCGGGGCATTAAAATGTCACTCTTGACAGAACATGTGATTATGGTCTACTTATGCACAGGCTGGAAGCTACACACCCCTCACTGTGCTGGTTGGTTCCTGTAGTTGCTGGCCAGGGGCTCTGAGGGTATGAACCTAGTACCAGCCCCATTTCCAAAGGCTTGACTAATGAGTCCAGCTGCCACCATTGCCTGTGGACACTGTGCAGTATCACACAGGCTTTCTTTTGGTCATATGAAATGCTCACCTATGCATGCTTCTTCAAAGTGCTTTATAATGAGATAGATTGCAATTTTTAGGGCATTTCTTACATGACAGAGTAAGATAAAACCATTGGAGGACATTTTATTAAAATGACCCTTATAAATAAAAAAGTGGAAAATAATTATTATGGGAAATCTGTGCCGATTATATTTAATAATAGGAACTAATCCTGAAAGGAACCTTGTGAGGAAGAGGGATGACGAGGTTACTTTTTGCGAATAGAGAACGGTTATCACAGGTGTCGACAGACAAGATCCCAAAGTTCTATGTGCTTTCTAGAACCTGAGGTGTGGGTTTTCAAGACCCTTAAGTGCGCATCCAGGTTGGAACATTTCGTTCCATTCTCCTCCTATTTCCCATAGGAAGAGTAACGCCCTCAGGTGCTGCCTCCTTCCATCTCTGCACTGCACGCCTTTGTGTTTTATTTAGTCTGTAGTTAATATACTTGCTATGTGGAGACTGGCATATAATATTCATAATTGGAGTATGAGACAATAAGGTGAAATGGAGCCTAAAATGGGCCCAAACATAAAAACAAAAGTGATTTAAACTCTGGAATACCCAGCATTCTACTTTTTACCTTAATCAGTAAACTAGAATCCTTTAGTCCATGAGTAGTTTTTAAAATTTAGAGTGTGGAAGTAATTAGATTTTTCTCCAAGGGATTTGCATGCTCTTATTTTGGCAGGGGATGAGTTGTGCTCAAGAAACATGCCAAGATTGTACAAAATATGAGGAGTGTCCCCAGTGTCTTCAATGTTTTGATACTGAACCCAGCGTGTATTGAGAAAACAGTGTAGTGATTCCAAATAAATGCATTATGTTGAATTTCTCAAAAATTTACATTTCACACCAAATAAAAACAAAACCCATTTTAAGGTGATTATAAAATTGGAAACTAATGACCCGTGTTTGAATCAGAAGTGAAAGGTAGGGCGCTGTGAATGGTCCAGAACATGCTGTATGAAGCTTAACAAAAGCGTCCTTTCTCTTTCCATTATGGCGTTTAGAGGAGCAATGGAATGGCTCCATAGGACTGATCTTGGGACGGTGTCTCCCTCAGCTTGGCCACCTCTGCAGAGCTCCTCTCTGTGTGTATCCTTCTCAGAAACAAAAGAGCCCTCAGACTTGGGTCAGTTTACTAAGGGTGATGCAGTAGAGGAGAAAGAACACGTTTACTGATTATCATTTTATTCTCAGAAAAGTGGGTGCTGGTTTGCCAGTCTGCATTTTCTACTAACACCCAAAGAAGAATACCATCTCCAATGTTAGGCAACCACTATGCAGACTCCAAAGCCCCATGTTTTACCACCTTGTTTTTTCCTGCTGTAGAAAATACCATCATTTACATCTCCGAGGTCTTTCTTTCTTTCTTTATTTATTATTAATCCTCACCCAAGGATATTTTTCCATTGATTTTTAGAGAGAGAGGAAAGGAGAGAGGGTGAGAGGGAGGGAGGGAGGAATGGGGGGAGGGGAAGAGAAGGAGAGAGAGAGAGAGAGAGAGAGAGAGAGAGAGAGAGAGCGCGCACGCGAGAGAGAAAAA